AAGCTAAACTGAGCACTGCTCCCCACCTCTTCAAAAGATGCTTTCAACCTTTGTCTCTTTATTAAAAATAATAACAGAAAAAAGTGAATTGTTGCGAACTTTTATATGAAAAAAAAAAGTTTTATAAAAGTTGTAGAGTTTCAGTTATTCAAATACTTTCACAACCTCGGGGTATCCCCAGGTTGGGGACCATTGGAACAGAACCATAACATGAACGAAGGACTTTAAATAAAATGATTTTAGTTTGAAAATGTGCAGATGGTGAAGTGAGGCTACARCGAGAAAAATGTGCTCGTATGTTCACGTGTTAGTGAACAGACAAGTAAAGAAGGCGGCRACACGTATCTGCATGAACGTTCACACATCTTACATCGTAAATGTCTCCTGGTTATCAGGTAAACAATAACAAAATGATTATTCAGTTTTTCTAGTTACATGTCTCATTTATACAATAATAAAAAGCTTTGAATACAGAAAGTTTGTTCGGAATTCTAAAWTCATCCAAGCTTTAGGCCTCATGACACAAATTTCCAAATCTGACTTTAAAATGTGTAAAGATCTAACTTGAAGGTTGCTCAACCTCTCAGAATTGTCCAAACTCAAAATCTCAAAGACCGAAGAYGTCTTTGTCACACATTTTTGCGTCAGCGCAACTTGAGCTTTTGAAAACACCGCGAGACGGACAAGGAGGAAGAAGCAGCTGCTCAGGATGAAAACCCGCTGCTTTGTGACTGACAGCTTCTGCTGTTTGAACGCATTTAGCTGTGAGGGGAAAACAAAACAGGAAGCAGGAAGAGAACTGACCCAAGACAGAAGTTGTAGCACATTTTAGCAAGACTCGGGGGAAAAAAAAATTGAAACGGCAGCAGTTATTACTGGCCACCGTCTGAGCCGGTCCCAGAGGAGGACTCAGTCTCAGTATTGGATGTGGCGCCGTGGTGCAGCACTCAGCAGCCTGTTTGGCTGCTTTACACGGCTTTATTTAAGACATGGAGGGGGTGCGGGATGAAGTGTGTGTGGACAGGAAGGCGATCACATTCATAGACTTATAGCATCTGAAGCTGAGCAGTTACTCTGGGAAATAAAGTCCAGCCTCAAAGGAAACGGGTGGAGTGSATTTGCTGCATCTTTAGCCACCAAATCTTTCAGGGGTTTGGGCCCAAAACTTGAGCACGGAGAACGTCTCAAACACAGAAACAGATTTTAAATCATGTAAAATAAACTTTTTTGAGTTTAATATCATGTTATAATATTATACTCTCATTAAAAAACATGCCCAAAGCTTTGCTTTGACTCATTCATGCATGTTTGAGAAATCCTGCAGCGTTTTTAGGAAGTCGTGCTGAGGAGCAAAACGACAGGTGGGGACCAGAAACGCCCCAGGGATGTTTCTTTAAGCTGAACTTCCTCATGGTGGAGCCCACCCCCACCCCCCCCCCACCCCCACACACACACACTCCTGCATGCAGGCTCTCTGTGAAAGTGAAAGTGAAACTTAAACTGTCTGCTGAGCTCTCAGCATTAGTTCTCACTCAGTGAAGCTCTTTTCAGATTAAAAAATACCTTTGAGGAAACGTATTTTCAGATGCCAAGTAAGCTGCATCATAGCAGCCCCCCCTCCCCCCGTGAGCGCGACCCCTGCACCGAAATGGGCGAGACAGAAGCAGAAGGTGGTTCTTAAAGAGACAGAGGCCAATTTCAAGGCATTTAGAAGAGGAAGTGATGAGAAGATAAGTTAAAATTTTATTTAAACATAAAAACAGCATTTTAATAACAGCTAAAGGTGACATAGATACTTTATTATGGTATAGTATTTAAATATATGCCTGAGAAACACATAATATTGGCCCTTTAAAAGAGCTGCATGTGATAGGACACCTGATTTTAAAGCAAAGCAGTTGGTCTTTAATAGACTGCCTGTTTGCTCGCTGTGACGCAGAAAGGACCAGCCGAAAGAAAAACAACATCTCTAAAATTCACCGGGGTTTAGCCATTTTTCTGTCAGGTTAGTTAGCTGTGGCAACCTTCTTGAATTGGATTGGCTCTTTATATTAGCCAGTTGTAGATGAACAATCCATTGGTAACACTGTGAATCCTTAAAATCTGTCCAGTGGGTCATGAGATATTTTGCTAACACTGCAGGCACATAATAATGKGAATAGTTGTCTCATTTGTCTCTGTGTGTCCCCGTGATGAACTCTCCAGGGTGTCTGATAAGCACCAGCTCCTCACGACTGGGAAGCAGGCGCAAAGATGGAGGATAATCGATTTTTTAAATGAGTGAGTCGTTTTTTAAAATTTTTTGCAAAGAATCTGTGGTGTTCTGCTAAATGGGTGTTTGTGCAAAGTGTTGTGTAAAAAAAGGGGATTTTGTTTTCCAAAATGTGCTTTAAACTGTCATTAAAAATCTGCTACAAGATCTGATTTTAAACCTGATAATTCCATGTTGGTGGGAACTTTTTTATGTTTATTTTAAAGGTCTTTAGGTGAAATCCTGCATACATTTAAGTTTTTATTCACAATTGGTTGGTGGGTTACAGCGAGTTAATGATTTTATTATAAAAATTAAGTAGGTCCTCTGGACAGGTTCTTTAATGAAACGTTTCATCTCTCCTCCAAGAGACTTCTTCAGACTGAAGAACCACGAAAAGGGAACGTGAGCTGGGTTTAGACCGTTGTGAGACAGGTTAATTTTATCATACAGATGAAGCTGATGTACTTAAATTAAAAAAATTTTCTACTTGGATTACCAAGATGCATCAGGGACATTATAATTTTATGTTTTTCATTTTGTGCTGAGCGTATGATTTGTTGCTCTTATTTTATTTTTTATTTAATCGGGTGCACTTTAGCGTAGCTGGAGTGTTTTTAGAATTTCAATCAGGAGAAAATTCTCATCTTGAGCAGAAAATCTGAGCTTTCAAAGCATCCTCTCACCTATTTAAACTTTCTGATCCATTTTTTAACGCTCGACAAGCTTTCCTCTGCTTCACTTGTCTTTATTTAACTTCTACAAACCCACAAAACCCACCCAAAACGTATAAATTAGGATAAAAAATGAAAATATACCTACTTTTTTGGTCTTCTTCTCTTTGGGTTGTATTTGTTGGCTGAAATAAATATTTTTCAGATTTTTCTCTGTTCTCAGGCTCATTCAGAATCACTYGGGTGGCTTCAGTTGTGTCTGCCGGAGCTGAACTGAGCCCACTGCAGCAACCTAAAACAACTTCCTGTGTGGTGAACAACTGGCCTATAAGTTGAGGTCTGTTTCAGACAGCACAAAAGGTGATTTGTGTAGGACTGTGTCTTCCGCGTCTATGCTCTGATGTTACTGATCTTCATGTAAAAAAAAAAAAAAAAATCAACAGTTGAAGTTCAGAGCGTGAACACAATCTTTCAAAGTTTTGCGTGTGATCTTTGCMTTTGTAACCTCCGCAGTTTTGTTCTCCTCCACGATGAAGACGTTTCCCGCGTTGAGCTTTTGTCACACGATGTTCTCACTTCTCGTGGGGGTATTATTTTCGCCGTCGCCCCTTCCACGAACCCCTTAAACGTCTTTAAAAAGCAAACTCTAGCTCCATAAATCAGAGCCGAATGAATCTTCCGCGGCGTTGAGTCGACGCCAAAAGGAACGTTTTGACATTTCGGCACAGAGTGCAAAAGGAAACAAGGTGACATTTACTCTTTTCATTATCATCRGGCTTCAAACACGAAGCAGAAACCAAATATGAATTTGTGCTGATATTTATTTAAAGCCCAACCTTTCAAAGTAATATTCCACTTAGGTGCGACACTTTCATTTCAGAGATTAAACACCTGATAAAGAATCAAGTAAACAAAAGTTGTTTAAAATTAGAACCTTTTGAAGCAAAATAAAAACTATGTGATGGTGAAGTTTAAAAGCTGAAAAAGACATTTGTGAGAGAATATATTGTGCAGCTTAATTAGATCTGGCAGTCAGGCTGATGATCAGAGATAAAGTATTAAACATAGTTTATTTTTAGTTTAAAATGGAGAAAAATCCGCAAGTGAAATGAGGGATGAAGCTCTTAATTAAAGTCAAACCCAGGCTTGTTTTAAAGCTGGTTTTATTTCTAATGTCACTCCAGCAATCGGGGTCAAATCTAATCCTGTGTGCGTTTTTTTGTGACAAACACAAATTGTGCCCCAGATGACCAAACTAATTTAGGCTAAAATTTATTCCTAACCATRATGTTGAGGTTGAAGTGACAAACATTCACACAGAGTTTCGATGAACCCGTGGCTTTAGTTGCAATGAGAGAAAAGTTTCGAACGACTTGGTTTCTCGTTCGGCACGTCCGCTCTGGCTCTTTGGTCTCTGGTGTTTAAACAGACCAAGAGTGAGTGAGCGAGAGCCTTCCTGTCTGCAGGGCGTCGGAGCTCAGGCCCGCTTCAAAGAGCGATGCAGCACAAGCGCACAAGGTCAGCTTCTCTCCTGTGGTTTCTTCTGCAATGGTATAGCCTGACTTCCTGTGAAAGATTACCATCGTGCCTCTCATATTCTCACTGATGCTTATCTCTTGATCCGCAAACGCCATCTCCCTGAACATCTCCACCTCCTTGCCCCCCCCAGTGACAGCTCCGTTGGCCAGTCTATCTGGCAGGCCATCCTGTGCCCTGCCAGAACCTGTGCCTCTTCTGTCCTGATCCTGTCATAAGGAAAYAAGATCCAGTGTCCCACTCTGGGGCGTGGGGATGAAAATAGCGAAAGTTTGTTCAACTGATAAAAGGAGCAGTTTTATAAATTYACGCCCAAATTATTCAAGCAGCATAAGTTTCTGACTGAGGTTAAGCTAAATATTGTATGTAGGGCTTCGAGCGATGCAGGAAGGATGCAGGTGATGAAAATGATAAACCACAATGTATCAGGAACCTTTACTCAGAAAAACCACTAAGTGGCTGTGAGATAACACTTTTATTGAAGAAGTAGTGCACTTTCAGTAATTTATACACAAATAGATCTGTAATTTGATTCTAACATGAAGATTAATATAACATATAGTTTGATCTTTACACTTTATAAAATATTACAGAAATGTTTTTTTTGTTTTGTTGAGACATTTCTGAAGGAATGTTCTGTTTAGTATTTAATCTATGCTAGCTGTTGCTAGATCAAATGTTGGTTTGTTGTTCTTTTTAAGGCGTATGAGACAAATTTTACCCAAAAATCTATACTGGAGTATAAAAAAACCTGCAACAAAAGCCAACATCAGTTTATCAAATCCATTGGTCCTGTTGATCAGCTTTAGTCGCTGCAAAGGTTTACTAAACTCCTGGTGAGCGGGTCAATCTCCAACTGAGAAGAGACACCTGGGAACCAGAAGGGTATCAGGATATTTACCCCCCGGACCCTTACCCCCGCCCTCAACAATTAGTTAGCCATGATGGGTGAATAGACCTTTGATTTCTAGAGATTTACTGTGCTTTTGTTCAAAATCTTTGGATTTTTGTTGTTACTGTTTAAAAAAGGACTTCAATCATTTCATTTAGGATTACGTTTTGATCTGCGGAAGTCAGACTGAAACCAATCTGGCTTCATCAGATCACACTCTGAGACTGCCTTTCTTCGTGTCTCAAATGATCTGCTAATGTAGGGCTGGGCAATTAATCGGATTTTGATCTTGATTACGATTTGGGTTTTCAGCGATCATAAAAACATCGGGCCGTATAATTTCCGTGATGCGACAAACGTGGACGGAATCCAGTCGTGGAATCCAGTGTAAAAACGTAGGAATCTCACAGAGGTCGCTTATTTGTGCGAGTTTCTGAGGTATTTTGACCGCTGCTGCTCCCTTTTCCTGCCCTTACCTGGTAACAGGCATGCGGAGTGAGCTCTGACTGAGCTCCCCTCCCGACACAGGAGGAGGGGGAGAAAAAAAACGTCGTGACCGCGACTCGAGCGGCGAACAACTCACTAAAAACAACATCCTCCAAAAATATCAAGCTAGGGTAAAGTTTAGGACAGAAAAAAAAAAAACCCAGCGGTTATTTATTTATCTGTAGAAAAACTTTCCTGTAAGTTTTGTCAGCACATGACGGGCTGGATACTGTGAAGACCGCTTCCTCTCTGAGTCACAGACGGAGGGGCAGGTGAGAGACACATTGAAAACTCCTCAACACTCAGAAGTGAGGTGGGAGTCCGGGTGGGAGGTTATCCAAGATTTTGTTGTTGTGTGCAGAATCAGATATTCCTTTAGTAAAAAAGAAAAAGCTTTGTCCATTTTCTGATAAAGCACTGTAAACAGTACGTGTGTGTGTCAACTTACATTCAGCAAATGAGCTTACATCCTATTCAGTTGCTGTTTGTTTCTTTATGACATATTTAATGTTAAGTTCAGTTCTAAAACATTTTTATTTTACAAAAGATAACTTCTGTTTTACACGTGTTTTTCTTAAACAAAAACAATTTAATGCCGAACCACAGCTATTTGTTAGATTAGTGAAAGTAAAATAACAGACTTTTATAT